AACATCACTGCTTTTTTATCTGTGGACGGTGATTTCTTTCGATATTCCACAGAAGTCCAACATGTTTTAGAAAAAATACAAATTCATTAGAAACGTTGGGCGCGGTGGGGATTGAATCCACGACCCGCTGACATTTACCGATACATTGATACCATTATACCAACGCGATGAGCGTGTCAAAAATAATAAATTGTGTAGTAATGACGTTTCGTGTTGACAAATCAATTTTAAGTTTATAGAAGCGTTGTGTTGTAAAAAGTACATTCAAGAGTCACTGATGGGTTTGCGCCTTTTAAAGTACGTTTGTATAGGAGCACAATAAATAGAAAACCTTCGCGCAATATTACAACGTTTTCTCTACTCTTCTCTGAAATATATTCTTTTGTCAAGACATAAAATCGTCCTTAGAGAATTGAAAAAACTTATCGCAAACTAGTTTTACTTGATGTAGACATGGTTTTTAGAATCAATGATCGAGAAGTGTGTGTGTTGTCGTTTTTGGGTTTAGTAACTTCTTAATTACTTAAATAGTAATTTATTATTTATATAAACATATAAAATAATACCTAAAACGTTATATTTATTTCTTCTTTGACATTTTTTACAGCGAACAAAATACATTTTATTAGAAAACTAATATATAAAAAAAAAAATCTTGAATATAGTGTCTTATAAATAGGACAGTGGGGAGGAATGGGTTAATTGAAATTACATTGCGCGAGAGGTGAATGTATCAATGCGTTGAAAAAATTTGACGATGAGGTGTAGGACTCGGTAGATCAATTGGTAGAGCAACAGCACGGAACGCTGACGATTCCGGTTCAAGTTCTGCCCGAGTCGAAAATTTTTTCAATTTATTTTCGATTTTTAAAGAAAATACTACTCACTGACTTGTATTATTTACTTTTCTATTTCTTATTTAAGTATTTAAACTAGTACAGAAACGTAAGTCAAATTATTTCAGACTGTCTCGCTTGTTTGAATAAAATACTTTAATTTGTAATTCTTATATTATGGTTTTATAATTGATTTATTGTTGTTTCTGAATACACGTATTTCTATTATATTAAATGCAGCACTTAAATTTTCAATTAATACTTCCATGTACAACGTCGGGCGTTGTGAAAAGTAAACTGCATGAATAAAACATTCATTTGATCAAGTGCTACGGGTTTGAATACTGAGCCAGTCTGAGGTTGTTATGTGTGTTCTTCGCTAGTTGCTCCATAGATACTAGCTGATCTGACAAATGTTGTTTGCAATATTATTATTATTACGTTGGTATAATTCTAACAAATAATTCGTAAAAACGCATTAGTTTCGACCAATTTTGATCACGATACTAACGGTTCCTGCGAGTTAATATTAAAAGAAGTTAATAATATAAGAAGAAGAAATAGGATATTTTAGATAATGTTGAGGAATATTCTGTCGTACATTTTCTTGGTCGATTGAACCATTTGCGCAGTAAACGCAACAAAAGCCCTCGAAGATGGATAATATTCCCCGTTTTTCCACATTTTCCAAATTGTCCACTATTCCTACCTTGCTAATGACCACAACGTCGTATATAAAGCCTAAAGCCTTTCACGATAAATGCTCCACGAACCAGTATTTAGTACTCTTCAACTGTATAACATTAGTATAGATTAGATTTGTGATAGATATTATGTTTTTTTTGACACAGGAGCTTCTCTGTACAAGCAAGAAGTTAGCTAGATCGGAGGCATAATACCTCAGTCCCATAAGATCTACTTAGACAATTGGAAATCCACAGACTAAAACAGCAGATTTAATCTCAGCCGTTCTATATGTGAACCAAATTATTGTCGGCAGTTTACTGTCCAAATTTTACAGAATTAATTTTGGCTAACCTACAACGAATTGGTTACTAACCATACATTACAATTGTACAAAGGAGCCCGATAAGCCTACAGTAGTTGTATCGTAAATACATCATCCTGCACAACCCATAACAGAAACGGTATAAGATCTAATCATATTATAAACAGAATTAATCGAGTAATTGAAGTGTACACACCTAATCATTTAACGTAATAACTGGATTGTAAAGCAAAGCACGTTTCGCTTTAACATGCGTCGCACGAGTGTACCAATTTACTTGATTGGGTTATATGAGGCTGGAAGAAAAATAAACCGCTTCTTTATTGTTCAAGAGTGTGTTAGCGAATTAAAATAAATGTATTACGATACAGTCTGTAGGTTACGAGTAGTACACATTAAAATCAAACATTTTCACGGTTTAAAACGCGATGTATATCGGTTAAACTTGTTTGGAGATTATTTTAACTACGGCCTGAAACGTCGGGCCGAAGTTAATAATAATTTTCAAATAAGTTTAACTAATATATCGCGTCTTAAATCGTTGAAGTGTTTTATTTTAATGTGTACTATTCGTGTAAACTATACAGTAGACAGTATTTACGGTCTGACATTTCGTTTTAATAGGGAAGACGGCCTCCAATTATCAAACTCCTTGGATCCCATGTTAAATGTATTCTAAAAACATCGCGTTTTAAACCGGTTAAGTGTTTTGTTTAAGAAATTAACATGTTATAATAGCAATGATGTTAGAGATGGTTAAAAATAGTTTTATAGCCGTTTTAATAACCGACCATTCTAGGTAGACCTCGCACTACTAGAGGTCTGCACTCGTAGGATCGTCCTCGAATAGTCTGTATCACTTTTAAATAAAACATTTTTAACGGTTATACATACTTATGTAAAGAGCCAGTTTGATATTAAAAATGGACTTCATCTGGCAATATGGCTATATGGGTGATAGAAATATCGAAATTCCGTCCGGGTCACGAACCACCGTCCACAGATGATTATCCGTAAAGTTTAGAAGCGTTTTGGACTGTGATATTTTGAATACCAAAAGCCAAAAAAAACGACAGTTCTTCTTATTTAGATATTATATGGATGGTGTATATCACCTTTCATCAAGTAAATTATATGCTTGTCCGTCCTCCTCTATCATAGAAAAAAAATATTTATCTCGTAAACAACCTTCAAATTCCATTACCGTACCAGCGTTATAATATTCCCGACAAAGTGACAAACAGCCTTAAGGAAAAAACAAATCTGGCTGTCAACAAGTAAAATAGCTTCGTTACCGCCACCATCTCTCTTTTTTTCCTCACAAAAACGTATGAGAAAACCATTTTGCGCGACATCAAAAATTAACTCGGATTTCCAGGAAGACTTCTGAGGGCGACAATCGTTAAAAGCTTCTGAGCTTTTTGTTATAATATGATATATATATACTTTCCGAAATCCTATCCTATCCTATGATATTTGTAATTTAAAAACATTTATATTTGAATAAAACACTTATTATCGGTTTAAAACGCAAAATTTATTAGTTAACTTATAATTTTCTTTAACTACGGCCCGACGTTTCGTAGAATAATGGTAATATAAAAGCATTTATATTTAAATGAAACACTTCTTACTAGTTTAAAACGCGAAATGTATAAGTTAATTTATTTATGATTTATTTTAACTACAGCCCGACGTTTTAGAATGCTTTGCAGCAGCTGAAACGTCCGGCTGCTAGCTAATTAATATATTTTCCATTTTAAACCGTTAAGTGTTTTATTTAAATGTGTACTACTCGCGTAAACTACTGACAACCCTTAATTATATATATCGAAGAAAGTTATTAAAGTAAGAAGCTAAGAATCAATATGGAAATAATGGTATATAATCATTAGTGACTGTATACTATACTGTGCCCATTGTCAATTCTAGGACTCGCCATCATACATTACGCAAGGTATAAGCTCAGGGGTAACATTGAGGTGCATAGATGCACGCGTTCATGCATAAAATTAAAGGTAATAAAACGATCCGCTATTTTCAAGTCGAGTTGTTAGAGAGAGGGCGATAACTCTCAGGTAGATGGGAATTATTAAAATTCCTTAAATAGAGAATGAAGGTACAATGTTAGTAAAAACTTTGTTATGAACATTTACGAAGACTTATGATATGTCCATTCTGTGATGGACACAGAAAGGCAAACTACTGTACATGGATTATGTAATATTACTCGTTTATAAATTAAAATAATTAGAATTCAGTTCTATTAGTAAAATAAAAGTAATTTATAATTTTATAAACGACGAGGACAATATTATAGTTTACTTGATAAAGGGTATAATACCCCAGCCATATAAGATCTAAAGATATACTGTCGGCCTATATTGTCCCTGGGTATTCGGAAATCTAGACCGAACTGAAACACCGATCACTTCAGTTTTTCCATAGGTAATGCCTCGGAGGCTTTAATATTCAATCAGAATTTCAAGTCGTTCTAAAATATATATATTTATTTTAGAAATATTATTTTAAAATATTGAACTTGGTTCGAAACAAACGAAATGTATATATTCGTTAAATATATATGTTACATACGAAAACCAAATTTAGTATTTAAATAAAACACTTTAACGGTTTAAAACGCGATATATTAGTTAAACTTATTTGAAAATGATTTTTAACTTCGGCCCGACGTTTCGAATGCTTTGCAGCAGCCGTGGTCACGGGGAGACTCCCCGACTTATTTTCAAATAAGTTTAACTAATATATCGCATTTTAAACCGTTAAAGTGTTTTATTTAAATATGTACTACTCGCCTAAACTATAGACAGTATTCAACTTTAGTATGTAAAGTTCTGAAAAAATCAATTAAAAAAAAATAATTAAACACTAATATGGAGTTACACGACTTATGAAAAAAAAGATGTATTTAAATAACAAAATTAATTAAAATCACGAAAAGGCACGATCACAATTCTGTGGAATTTATTTATTTTTATTTATTTATTTACACTTTATTGCACAAAAAAAATTAACAAAAATATAAACTTATATACTAAACATATGGAGTGCAATGGGCGGCCTTATCGCTAACGAGCGATCTCTTCCAGGCAACCCAAGCCTTTTTTATTCTTTTATTAAAAAAAAGAACCAATATGCTAGATAACAAAGGCATATTCAATGAGATGGTAAGTATAAGCACTACCAATTTATCTCTAGAGGGATCAGCAAATATTTCCTTTGTATAAATCAAAATTTGTCCATCAATATTTTACGGCGGAACCCTGACTCTGTGACCTTATTTGGATATTCTTTACGACCGGGCCCGACATCGACGCTTCGGCAATTTGTCGACACTTTATCGACACGCAGCAGGGTTATGTTTATGTAAATCGCGGCGAAGGTAGACCTGATGAAGCTGATGTTGATTTGCGTTTATGTTTGGTTGAAATGAAGATTGAATAGTTTTTCTATACAGTTTTTATAGACTTATCACCTAATATTAGTCTATAAAAACCTGATTATTGATATGATTGTTACATTACGGTAATGTGGAGCATGGGGCGTTCTATCGTTTTTTAAATGCACTTATTTTGGGTAGTAAATGTAAGTTTTGAGTCCTTAGTTAGGTCTTAACTAGAGTCACGTTCATAAGTGTATCTACGTAAATTATTTTTGACTTTGATTATTAACAACTTAGTCATTCTTTCGTTCTCCGTTCGACCGGAAAAAAATTATGTCGTTTCGCGGCATTCAAACCCATCTCCCGTGTTTAACGCAATACTATGTAACTCGTTTGAAATATTATAGACATAAAATAATGTATTCTCTACTACTCTAATCGTCGGGACGTAGTTAAAATTACTTCTAAGCAATTCTATACATTTCGCGTTTGAAACCGTAAAAATGCTTTTTTTTAATAATATTAATTTTTATTGCAGAATAGAATTAACAAACACTCCAACAGGTTTTTAAATAATTCACATGTAAATCCGGGTTTACTAGTCAATCAATACATTTGCGTACAGTTTGTGACAGTGCAACACGGGCGCTTGTGTCAGGCCAGATAGTGACGTCAGCTTTAGGGCTCTTCTCGTCAGAGCAGCTTATAGTATCAACTCGTCATACAGTGAATTATAATGGGATTGGGCTTCATTTTAACATTTCAACATTCATTTTAACTAGGAACTTACACTGGTTTTAGACCTTAGCAATTTCTTACACTATCAGCAAAAATATACATTATATTATATTATTCTATTTTATATTGATATATAAGATGTTAAATACTGTCTATAGTTTACGCGAGTAGTACACATTTAAATAAAACACTTTAACCGTCTAAAACGCGATATATTAGTTAAACTTATTTGAAAATGATTGTTAACTTCGGCCCGACGTTTCCCCGTGACCACGGCTGCTGCAAAGCATCCGAAACGTCGGGCCGAAGTTAAAAATCATTTTCAAATAAGTTTAACTAATATATCGCGTTTTAAACCGTTAAAGTGTTTTATTTAAATATAAGATGTTGTAATAATTTTTCACTATTTTCAAGAACGGCATATGATAGCACAGTCACAATCCGTTCAATGTGCTACTGAGAAAAAACAGTGGTATGTATATAGAGAAAAAAACTTAAAAAAAATATATTTTTCTACAGCCCAAAAGAATGTTGTAATTTTTCTCATTATATGGAAATAATTACAAAGCAATTACATTTTTTTAAAAATGAATAGTAGACAGAAAAAAAATAAGGGATTTGAGAAATTCGAAGATCACAAATGGTACTCGGTAGCGCTTGGTTCGAGTCCTGGTCGTGTCATCAATGTCTTAAAAGTAGCTAGATATAACATAAGCCGAATGGAATTACAGGAAAACTCTAACGACGCCGCCTCGTAGGGAGTTGTGCAGAATTTAAATCAAGCGAAGCTTGACATTAGTATGTAAGAACAATACACCCCATAAACTTCATAACAAGGCAGCCGTAATTAATTCCTGTCTAATTACACACGAGTTACACGCAAATTATTTAACTAATCACTTCAAGTGCTTAACTATTTCAATTAATGTTCAGGAAGTTTGCGGAAGATTTTCTTAATAGGTACATACATACAATAAGAACGATATACAGCCTTGTTGGTGTTTTTGTTAGCAGTATATCCAGGTCCAATATGTTTCTAACCAGTTTATAATTTTTCTGAAACATGTTGGACTTCGTCTGGTAATCTGAATATCAAATGGGTAGCTACATTCCGTCCGGGTTGCAAAGCATCGTCCTCAGATGAAAAAGCTGTAAAATTTTATCGTGTTTCGATTTCAGTCTAAAGACTCCCAAGCCTATATAGGACGACAGCATATCTTGCTTAGATGTTATATGGCTGGGGTATTTCACCTTCCATCAAGTGAAGTTTAAAATCAATTATGTCTAATGGTTTTTTTAACAAAATAGACGTATATAAGCCAGGTCACTAAACGGACACCTATTTGCGGCTAGACCAACGGTGCCCTAAGGGGGGCGTTGATCCAGACCCAGGTACAGGTCTCTACTTGCATAAACCCTATAATTTTAAAGATTAGAGATCTGCAATCGATGGAATCTAGAATAACGAAGCGGTATAGTCATGCTAAAGACATTTTTGAATTCATGGAATTTGTCCGTTATTCAAGTATTCTTACAAGCGACGAATATCAATTGTTTGGTGGAAGTATCCGATTGATCCTAGGTCACGAACATGCCAGCCATAGAGGGGAAAGTTGTAAAATGCAACGAATATTTCGACTTTACCTTTACCACACATCTATGTCTATATGAAATACTAGCTGTGTCCGCGACTTCGTCCGCGTGTAATAGTGACTTGGGGTAGAATTTTAATTGTTTAGGCTGTTTATTAATTTACGTAAAGGCGCATTTAAGGCGCTTATTAATCTATGTTGTAAGTGCTACTTTGCCGCAACACTCTCACCTCACATCACTCCCACTCTCACTCTCACTCCCAATCCTAATCCCACTCCTATTCCAAAAAAGCCAAAAAAAAGTTTCATTATTCTAGCTTCAAAAAACACGAATTTCCATACAAACTCCCCTTTTTCAACCCCTATCAACCCTTTTTTGGCATTAAAATGTATTTCCTGTCTTAGGCTCTAAAATATCTGTGTACCCAATTGCATTTAAATCAGTTCAGTAGTTTCGGAGTTAAAGCCGGAAAGACAGAGAGACAGAGTTACTTTCGCATTGAGTATAGATTTGTTACTCCATCGTTAGTTTCAAAACTAAGTCAAGGGTTATTGGTTAAAGACGGTATCAAACGCAATTGATACCGTGTTTATTGATCCTGATTTCGTGACCTCGACAATTGTTTCAGCCGCGTACAAAAGTATAATTACCACTAAAATAAAAGCGACTCATGTCTGGCGTCCCTGGGTTCTGTTCTGTCTTAGATTCGATCGGGGAAATCCGATTGTTTCTGTTGCCTACAAAAGTCCGATAAAATAAAAGCAACTAAACAGGAAATAATACATACAAGTAAACATACTTTTTACCCCCTTCTGTTACATAAATGTGACTTTTAAGATTAAAAGTCATTACCGATGTTTCAAAACATTCCTGTCAATAGCTTAAAAATTGCTACATTTAAATATTACTCTACGTCGAGGTATGGATGGGTTTAAGTTCCGCCCGTGTCGTAATTGAATTTTAATTAACATTTTAATGTATATACATTATTATAATGATAGACATGCTTAAATATTTATATGATTTTCAAATATATGTCTAAGTTTACCGTCATCGTTTCAGGTCAAAGTTATGCTTAGAGTCGGTGCAACTGGCGAGGGTCCATTCACCAGCGGTACTCAAACATTTTCCCTCGACAAACGCAAGAAACAAGTGACCCTCTGCGAGACAACACCGGCTACCAGTGCCCCGGAAGACCGAAAAGTGGGCGTGGCTGCGCCGAAAATGTTCGCATTCGATGCGATTTTCTCCCAGGATGACTCGCAGGTAAAGATTTTAATTTGTAAGTGTTCTATGTCTGTACTTACATTTACAACACACAATGATTAAACATAACTCATTCTTATATACTAACGAATATTGAAACAAAAGAAAATATACTTTTAATAACTATAAAAACGTTCTTACACATTGCTTGATGTGGTATTTGGTGTAACGGTAGCAATGTATCGCTAATCAATGGGTCATAGATCCGATCCCCACCAGGTCCAAAATATTTCTAATTTATTTATAATTTTTCTGAAACATGTTGGCCTTCGTCAGAATCATACATTCAATACATTCCTACCACCCATAGAATAATCGTCAAAATCAGTTTATCTAAATAAAACACTTTAACGGTTTAAAACGCGATATATTAGTTAAACTCATTTGAAAATGATTTTTAACTTCGGCCCGACGTTTCGGATGCTATGCAGCAGCCATGGTCACGGGGAGTCTCCCCGTGTTAACTAATATATCGCGTTTTAAACCGTTAAAGTGTTTTATTTAAATGTGTACTACTCGCGTAAACTATAGACACTATCTAAAATCAGTTTATTCAATGGGGGTGGTAGGAATGTAGAAAATTCCATCCGGTCAGGAACCACTACAGATACTTTATAATTTTTTCCTCTGTCGAGTGGTATACATTTAAATAAAATCCCTAAACGGTTTAGAATGCGAGAATTTATTAGTTAAACTTATTTATAACTACGTCACCACGTTTCAGATGCGTTGCAGTAACCGTGGCCACGGGTAGACATTATGAACCGTTAAGTTTTATTTAGCTCCATAATTTACTAAGTGCTCCTGAGAAAACAATTCAGAATTTCCAAACATAGCTTCAATTAGAACCCTCGCATTATGTATAAGCGTTTTCAATCAGCGATGGGACGATTTCATTAAAATTTTCCTTTAAAACAATTTAAGCACCTGAATACTTTAAGAGGTGAATATTTAGGGCTATTAAATTATGAGTAATAAAGTAAACTTGGGAAGGAAACAGAACGTAGGAGAAAATTATTTTTGAGGAATTACCCACTTATAATTGTGAAGTGTCAAAAATAAAACAAAGCGAAATGAATAGAAAAGATAGAATCGAGAAATCGAAACGCGATTAAACTTCCCGGCTCTTTCACGTGTAACCCGGACGGAATTTGATATTGCTTTATTTATGTAAACTTATTTGAAAATGATTTTTAACATCGGCCCGACGTTTCGGATGCTTTGCAGCAGCCGTGCGAGACGTGGAGACTTTACTTTGGCCAAACTAAGTTTGACTAATATATCGCGTTTTTAACCGTTAAAGTGTTTTATTTAAATGTGTACTACTCGCGTAAACTATAGACAGTATATAAATTGTGAATTTATTTTACCATCTGAAGTAAAATGAGATTAATTTAACACAGTATTTTAATCGTACACATAACAACGTCGACTTGAGTTTTTGGCTACTACCCAAACCGATGTAAAACTGATATACAAGCTCCGGTATTTGGTATTATGGTAAAACTAGGTTTTGCCGAGGCTTTTCTCATTTGGAATAAATAGTCTAAACCACAAATACTAAACAGAAATTCATAAAAAAGTTTTCGTATACGCATTGTAACACATATTGTTTTTAGTTAAATAATAGTTTAATAATTTGAAATAAAAGACGATCATTACTGAGGAAGGCAGACGGACAGGTGCGTAATGCGTTACGTAACGCATCATTTCAGCCTTTCTAAGGTATCATTCCTAAATACGAAATATGGTATATTTTTTTCCAGAAGTTACATAGATTCTTTTCTTATTTATTCAACAAAATTGTGCTATTTACTAGTCTGTCGTCTTTTATCTAATCTCTTGGTGTTTCTGTTAATTAATTATTCAGTAAATTAAAAACACTTTTAACGGTTTTAAATGCGTGATAAATTAATTAATTATGTTTAATCTTTAAAAAGTTTATTCAAACACATTCTCGCCAACCTTACACAGTAAACTCGACGTTACGGTTCTGGCTGCAACCCAAACGAATGTAAAACCAACCAATAAACAAACCAAATTGGAATTAGCAATAACAACTACAAATTAAGCTACAGTAAGTGGCTAATGCAGCGGCTAGGATTATTCGGATTATAGGTATTAATGGCTCCGAAACGCGCCTAGCTCAATTGTGAAACATGTGTCTGCGACGGATGCTCCCTACTGAAAGCAATAAATGGATAGTGATACCGGGAAGACTGGAGATCAGAACTTAGACGAAACTGGTATTGACGTGCTCGTTGGGAATGTTAGCAACGTAACGCTAATAATGAACGGGCCGAAGGTTTGATTCCCAACGGGCCCGACGCTTTTCCAATCAATTTATAATTTTTATGTCCTCAATGGGTTATCAAAATCGGGTAACGAACCACCATCCACGGATAAAAAAGAGGTAATCGCGATTCAGTTTCAGTCAGTAGCTTTCCCAATATCCAAAAAGGTTGACAGTCGACAATAATAATAATAAATCTCTTCATTTGGCATTCATTAGAAGTAGTAGTAATTAATGTAATTACAATTTAAAAAAACACGACGAGATTTAATTAATTAAGAAAAAAATGTTGTCATAGGGTCATACGTCAGCATAAGTTGCTGCCAACACTGATTTTCAGCAAAACCCTACTGTTCGTCTGTTAGACAGCGCTCATACAACCATTTGATATTACAACACTGACGTTAGCGGGAAACATTATTAAGTAATGAACTAATAAACTTCCACTATCATGAAAAAATAATCTAGCAAATTCCTTATTCGTCACACCATGAAACATAGTTTAGTAGGTGCCCCACCACACCTTTTATAAATGAAAGTCTATAATAACAACAAGGCAAACTCATTGAAAAGTTAATAATTGAATTTACAGTACCAAACAATAAAGTTGAAATTATTATATAAAAGACGTCCACGAAATGCACGCTTTAGCTATTCAGCGAATTCTGAATAGCAGCTATACCCAAACGCCGGGCGTTTTAACAATTTAAACATGAAATTCCGGAATTTTTATGTTGAAATTCGAGTATGGAAGTTTGCGACAACGCAAATGCTATGATAACCGGCTAAGTTTTGAAACGTTCGCGAAATTGTTACGAGTTACACATGTTTTAACGCTGAGACAACAATTGTTTAAAACGGTAATAAAACCTCTAATGGATACAAATGAACCCAAAAAGATTTGCGTCTTGATCGTTGTCAAATTGATACTCGAACTATATTCGTTACATGTTTAACTATGATTTGGTTTGACAGTCACTGTATTCACATGATAATAGGAAGTAGCAAGATAGTCGACATTCCTAATAATAAGCATAATATCCATTGCATTAATTATATATTTGGCGTTTTAAAACGTTACAATTTTTAATTTGTTGTGTAACACTGGCAACAATGGCTTATGGTATGGTAAAAAATAAATTTCTTCTTCTTTCTCGTTCAATTTGTTTTGTTTTATATTCTAAGATAATTTTTCAGTCAAAGATATATTTTTTTATAGTTATTCGATTCAAACTATCACTATGCCATTTGTCTTCCAAGAAGCTAATCGAGTTTAAAAAAACAGTTTAATTTTTTATAAATATATTAGTTAAACTTTTAGACGGCGATATTTCGGACTGCTGCAAAATTTACATATTATACCGCGATTTAAACTGTTAAAAATTTTTATTTAAATGTGTACTAGACTCGCGTAAACTACAGACAGTACTTAGTCGAAATTTTATTTTGCACTTCCATTTCTTATGAAGCACTAGATTATAGATTCTCTTTGTTCAGCTCTATGAAATAAGCTCGAGTCGACAAAGGGGAATTTTCAATGAGTTCACGTCATTTATTTCTTTGATATTGCACAAAATCTACGAGGCAATAACGATTTTTGCAAAATATCTTGGTGATGATTATAGTGTTTAAATAAAACACTTTAACGGTTTAAAACGCGATATATATTAGTGAAAACTATTTTCAAATAAGTGTAACTAATTAAATCAACGTCGACGGAACAGATAGCGCTAGCGTAGCACTTTTTACTATAACATCGGAGACACCATCTTTAGTCTCCCCGTGACCACGGCTGCTCCAAAGCATTCAGAATGTAGGACCGTAGTTAACAATTTTCAAATAAGTTTTACTAATTTATTGGTTAGCTATATTTTGTTATCCGCTTATATTTGTATGTTATTGCGACAGCCGACACGGATTACTGTAAGAGAAATGTGAAGAATGTATAGCAATGCAACATTGCAGTGGTATAAGCTGCTAAGCCACCTGACAGGACATTTGATGTATGGCGGGGTGGATAACATTTCTATAAATTTATCTTCTGGGCGTGTTCATATAATGATATATTATCTTTTGTTTAAGTGAATTGTTGGTCAAAATATTTATTTTAAGGCGTAATTAAATAAGATAAATAAAGAGAATAGACATATAAACATGTTACATTGAAGACCAAACAAACAATAACATATACTAGGAGTAGTTTTGTACTGCTTGAAATCCCCCCCTGCTCAGACTGAACCCATTGTGGTTTAAAATTAACCATAAATTTGAAAGAAAAATCGACTCGGGCAGGATTGAACCGGCAGTTACGTTCCGTGCTGTTGCTCTTTTATTTTTTTCAAGTTACATTATAAGAATGTCCAATAACATGTAAAAATATTAAATTTTCCAACCTTGTTTTTAGTAAATTATTTAAATAAATTTTACTTAGAGACAAAAACGCAGGGGACGTTTGTGGGGCTGCACACACCTAACTTAAAAGTGGCCTTTCTTTCAATGCTGAACACGAACGGATTATTTGTCAATGATATTTCTTTAAATTGCATATTTTAAAGTCATATAAAGTCCACATTATAAGCGTTGTTTTAACAAAGTTTTTGACTCGTTCATAAAAATCGGCTATCGTCGCTACATAAACAAACAGACGAAATTATATTCGCCACGGATGGGTGGAAAGTGCAAATACAATCCAGATTACAATGAATAATTAAAAAACGACTACTTTAATACAATTGCAGTACATAACGCTCATCGGATGATATTACATTATTTATTCATGTCCAATCTTCATTATATGAATTACCAATTTGCCGGTATTAATATTAAGTAGAGATGGGCCGAGTATTCAGTTGTTGAATACTCGGTACTCTGCGTACTCGGCGGGTTGATAACGAGTATACGTTGTTGAAGAAAAGCTATATATATTTAGGTAGATGTCATTGAAACAACAGTGTTAATTCAAAAGTACTTATTAGTAATTTAGAAAATCTTTGAAAATCTCAATAAATCAATGAATGAAAGAGTAGTCATCGGAGCTTGCAACAGCCGTGGTTACGAGAAGACTGACCACGTGTGTCTCCCCGTGACCACGGCTGATGCAAACCGTGCCGAAACGTCGGACCGAGTTAAAAATCGTTTTTCAAATAAGTTTAACTAATATATCGCGTTTTCCGTTAAAGTGTTTTATTTGAATGTGTCGGCTCGGTAAACTATACAGTATCTGTTTGTACTTGTTTACGCGCACGAAATGGGAATTTGATCGAACCCAGATACTCGGCCGGGTACTCGGTTGAAAAAAGAGTTTGAGCCGAGTAAAACTCGGTAATCGTTACTCGGCAAAAGTGTTACTCGGCCTTTAATATTAAGTATTCCCTCGTCTACTCTGTACCTATTATGTACTACTGTGACATGTTAATCAGAGTATTGCGTATGGAATTTATTATTACGATTAATAATTCGATTTTATTACAAAAGAAATGAGTTGAATTTTAGAAATTTTGGCTTTTAACTGCTTATGTGTCACGGGATCGTCGGTGGAATGTTGATAACAATCGTGGATTCACCCAGTCCAACATTTTAAATTAAAGTTTATCCGTTTCGTTTCAGTCTGATATATAGTCTTGATATCCCCAATCGTCGACTTTGACTCTATTTAAATAATATAAATAAATGTTTAAATGAAGTTTGTATATCATCGCCTAACTAGATATTACAATCATCTTATAGTTGGGTTGGGGGTAAAACACTGGCTCAATGCGATAGACGGCTTGAGATGCAAGACTGTATGACAAAAATGTTATATTTTTAAGTTATTTTTTCCTCACTATATTATTGTGTATCTTTTTCTTTCTACGCATTGTTTATGATTTAAGAACTTTGTGCGTAATTACCTAGATTTTAATTGGCATTTCTAAATGAACCGAGCGAGGCCCACTACACAGGGAATCCTAGTATGGGGGCTAGTACACCCGATATGTAAAATCTATATAATTTATTGTTACAGATTGAAATAAGTTCCAGTGCACTTACAGATGTTATTCACGCAGTAGTTAACGGGACAGACGGTTGCCTTTTCTGCTTCGGACATGCAGGACTCGGTAAGTAACTGAAAACATGAGACATTCTTTTGCAGCATAAACCGAATCTGAGCCTTAAGTAAACGCTGCTAAGGCAATTTCCTATAATTTGTATACTATTTAAATTAAACATGATGACGGTTTCAAACGCGATAAATATAAAAATTTCCATAATTTCCAAATGAGTTTAATTGATGTAATCATCTTAAGTTCAGGTATTTCTTGCAATGATATTGAAATTATATACCGTTCCTGGGACTAAGTTACAAATTTTTTAGGACGTTTATGTACAACCTAACTGTGTCATCGACTTTCGCGTTTGGGCATATATTGTCTTTTTACAAAACCTTCTAGACCTTTATTAGATCACGTAAAAAAAGAATAATTCTTTGATACATATTTTTTGACCCACATGCCCTCAAAGAACAGTTCAAGAAACCCTCAAAGATGAATAATTTCCCTGTTTTTTTTTTCATATTTCCCACTGTGTCTTCGCTCCTATAAAGTCACTTAAGGCGCGTAATGTAATGTAATTTAATAGCCTTTCTCCATAAATGCTCTCATTGACACAAAGAGAATTTTTTTAATACGAATCAGTAGTTCCTGAGATTAGTTCGTTCAAACAAACATACTCTTCAGCCTTATACATTAGTATAGATAGATTATTAAATAAATATTAGTTTTTAAAATATGTATAATATAGTATATTCTTTTTACGCTAGATCAGAGACTACTAATTAAAGATTACAATGCAATGGGTGGCAACTTTCCGCTGCCGCCTTGAGATCTTAATTATCAAACTTTCAATTAAGACTCGCGGTTTCCTATTTCCATGCAAATGCCGACTTGTGAGCAAACTTACCGGGCTAAGTAAGTAAGCGGTCTAATAAATACCGAAAGTATCAAAACGGAATATTTAAACTTACTTGTACCTAATTTAGGACTTACCAAGTTTGAACTAAAGATTCTTGAAGTTAGATTTAAGGTTCTGATATTATACGTGAAAGTTCCGAGTCACTGCTAAAATGTAAAATGCATCCAGCTTCACAGAAGACAAATAGCTAGCCTCTACCTTTGAGTTCCTAAATTTTTAACTTAACTTCTAAAACATTAGTATACTGTTACAATATTTCGTAATATTCTACTATTTCGCTTGAACCAAAATAGTAAATATCAACAATAACTCCTTGAAAAGTGGTTATTATAACGTAAATCAATATTCAAATGTTAAGAGATAAGAATTATTGTTTAGAGCAAATATGCACAGACCGCGGCCCGCCAATATAATTAATAGATTATTTTTCAATTTTACTACATTATTATTAAATCTTTACTGTGTTTGATCACGTGGCGGCGATGTGTTGACAGTTCTTCTCATTAATTCTGTCCCCTTATATTTGTAACTGGTATTAAATTTGATTTTAAATATGGACGTACCGTGTACTCAGTGACGTAGATGACTGTCTTAAAAGTACTTTTTCAGCACATGTATACAATACCAAAATAAACGTACCACCACACCTTTATATTAAAAATAATTAAATAATAAACCTAAAAATTACTCACGAAACATTAAGTATGCTGTTGTTCGTTCGTTGTACATGTGTAATCTAAAAAATCCTTATAATATCTAACCTTCATAGCTACTCCCCAATATTTGTTCAACATTAAACTTCGAAAATTAAAACGAGCTTCTAATTATTCACTCAGCGGGTCGACAATCCCCAAAATAAGCAAGCCAGGTTCCCACCGCACAACTTTTGTCGCGAGGATTTGAATTTGCATATAAAACCGTAATCCTTCAATGTAACTCCTGAACAGTTTGTTAGTTATTTCCATTTAAATTCAGCATTTTTGCAACCACAATATTTTAGTGATAACCTAATGCATATGTAATCTTGTATAAGGAGTATGTAGATACCTACTTCTCCAGACTTCACTTAAAGTGAATTTGTTACTAAATAAGGTCAGCAATGATAAATAAAAAGTGTCTGTAGTTTACGCAAATCATACCCATTAAATAAATTATAATCTTTAACGGTTTGAAACGCGGTATATATTAGTTAAACTTATTTAAACATTATTTTAACTTCAGTCCGACGTTTCAGATGCTTTGCAGCAGCCGGTTAGTTTAACTAATATATATCGCGTTTTAAACGGTTAAAGTGTTATATTTAAACGATGAATGAACAAAAAAACTGCAGTTTTAATGTTTTTTTATTAGTTGGATTTCTCTTGTTTCGCATAATATAGAAAAGAGAGTCGAACAATATTGGAAAATATTAAAAAAATATCCCCTAGACATATCCGTGGGTTTCGTACTAGTAAAATACCACATAAAACTGCTTTTAGGTAATATGTACCCGGGGCCATCTGGACTAATAATAAGGCATCTAGATTATCTCGTAAATAGGTCATATTTTAATAGATCGGGTTATATTTATCGATGCTTAGATTACGTTCCAATAAGTTTCATCTTTCCAGGCAAATCATACACAATGTTGGGGCGACCCGATGCTGGTACATCCCTCGGCGTGATTCCTTGCGCCATCTCGTGGCTGTTCAGGGGAATAGCGGAACAGCGCCATAAATGTGGAACGAGGTTTTCAGTGCGCGTGTCTGCTGTTGAGTTATGCACGAATACTAATCAGATTCGGGATTTATTAGCACCTTATCATAATGGTAAGTTTTTACGGTATTTTTTTTATGATAAGAGGAGTACCGACTAGCATGAGGGTTATTTGATGAAGGTGAAATACCCAAACCACATGACATCTGAAAACAATGCGCTGTCTACCTATTTTGACTTTAGATATTCGGAAATTCACAGAATAAAACTGAAACGCGATTATCCTTGAGGGCTCTTTCATCTGTGGACAGTGATTCGTGAACCCGTCAGAATTTCGATGAACGACCAGTTGATTATTTGCCGACCATTGCTACCATTACCACGTCAAAATTACAGTGAAGAATTCATACATTTACGCCACTTTTTATATTGTTGAATCGAACGAATATTTTTAAAATTATTACACGTTTAATTTACATACCATTAACGATGAATAAAATATTTCTAAATAAGAAATTTTAATATGTTACATTTATATGTACTGACTACTTTCAAAATACTTGTAACCTCCGGAGTTTGTGTTAATTCCACTTTCTTTTTCAATAGATACTGAGCAATCGCCAGGCGTATATCTTCGGGACGACCCGCTCTTTGGGACACATCTCCAAAACCAGTCAGAGTTGAGAGTTCACAGCGCAGAAAAAGCAGCCTTCTACCTCGACGCGGCGTTACAAACGCGGGGTGTCAGAGAAGAAGGAAAAGACAGCCATTTATTATACACCCTTCATGTTTACCAATACAGCGTCGGCGGCAAAGGAGCAGGTAAGCAAATGTTTGTTTAAATTTTATGTCTGAATCAAAACAAATCTTTTTTTGCTGCAGTAAAAAATTAAAACAGCCATTTTAATTCCAGACAAGAGGATTTTGTAGTAAGCGCAGTTTTTCTTTATTTACAGTTGCCGGAGGTCGAAGCCGATTACATCTAATCGACTTAGGGAACTCAGAACGCGGAAAAACTAACGGAGGGATACCATTATCCGGCTTAGGAAATATACTACTTGCGATTTTCAACGGACAACGACATTTACCGTATCGAGATCACAATCTCACGCACGTTTTGAAAGAATGCCTCGGGTCTCTCACCTGTCACACTGCAATGATAGTTCATGTGTCTCCAAATGTTCAAAATTACACGGACACGCTAACTACACTACAGTTGGCATCCCGAATACATCGATTGAGACGTAGGAAAATTAAATACCCTGCAAATAACAACGCCGGGTCGGGAGGTAGTTCTGGGGAAGATGCTTCAAAACCAAGCAGCAGTGAACCCGATCCGTCTAGTAGTGACCTATCGGCTGATACTGTTATTTATGTAGGCCCCTTAGACGATGCTACCGATGGTGAACATCCACCGGTCTACATACCACATATAAGTTCAGGTGATATTAGATCATCTCTAAGCAAAACATTTAGGGCATCAACACAAGACCAAAAACATAAATCTTCTCTATCGAAAGTAGTCGAAGAAAAGAGTCCTATTCACAAAGTATATGGAACACCGAAAGCGTCACCTCTAAAAACTGCATTGCCAGTAGGTTATGCAGCAAAGTCATCACCCGTACACATAGCTTCAACCAAAGCTACGCCAATTAAGAAAACGGTTCCTAAACATCCAGAAGAAAAAAATACAAGTGATGAACAATGGATCGATGGACCTAGAATATCAAAATCTAAATTGGTGGAAGCTAGACACAACATTATAAAAGAAACTCAAGGGAAGAAAAGAGAGACCTGGATTGATGGACCCATGCAAGAATCAAAACTGCCCTTACAATTTGAATCCGTACCAATACAGTCAAACGCTAATCAAGTACCTCTTCAAGTAGGGGTACTAAGTTCTTATACTAATGAAAGTCTTGGCTATGGGTACATGGACAATCATAAGAAAAATATGATAAGGAAGTGGGTAGAAAATCAAACTTGTCAAATACAAAAATCTAGACATAATTCACCAAGTCATAAACCACAACAACAATCTAATATCAAAGATGCAAATTCCAAGTTGAATGAAGATAGTGACGCAACTCATAAAATGGAAGTTACAAAAGACTCAAGACGCGTACATGTCGAAGAATCAACAATAAGAACTGGTTTGAAATCGGGTTCTAAAGCCATAGCAATAGAAGAAGAAAACTTTGGTCCACCAGATTCTATATCAGCTAAAAAGTCATCTTTACCAAAGTCTGCTACTAAAAATGAGGTAGATGAAGATGATGATAGTGAAGAATTGGCAGAAATACCTCCTGCTCTACCCTTAATTCAACCAAGTAGTCTAAGTAGCAGGGAAGTTTCAATGGAAAGTTTAGATAGCAAATATAAAGAACGAATGCGAATGGGTGACGATATAGTATCTAATCATAGTAGAGACATTGATCCCCATGGAATGAGTAAAGGGCCGGCTGATGACGATGATGAAATACTAGAGATAATTGAAGTTGAAGAACCTTTAGAACCAGTTCCTATGCAAGACTGTTGTCTTCAAGTAACCGAAGAAGACATTGCATTCTGCATGGGATTAACTAACTTCGAAGGCGATGAAGATGACGATGACCATCCACTTAGAATCTTAAGTCAAGAAAATTTAACGGTAGCCTCTACTTTCACAGACACCTTATCTTTGTATAGTGAAGTTGAACGACAAATAAGAAATGAAGCATATCTTAGACAAACTATGGAGTTTTATGCTCAAACATTTGGTGATAACTCGGGTGATATGAACCTACAAGGTAGTTTACCTTCCTCTAGATCGAAAATCGACGATCTAATGGAGTTAACAGAAATGTATGGGCCAAGAAAACTATCAGATGGAAACAATATAGCATCTTCAAGAATTTTACCCCAGTTTCAATCAATATCTCTATGTAATGTTCGCAATGCGGACGATTACCACGGCGACGGGTCAGTGTACAGTGAGCCTGCTTATAGACCGAGTGACAAAATATGTGATAGTTGCAAACGAACAATATCTAGGCCGGGAAGTGTCGTTGACGATTGTGAAGCATATCATAACTTAGACATAACGCATAACGAGTGTTACGGCCCTTTTGAACGTTACAGAGGTAACGACATAACAGATGCTCGAATAGCCTCATTAAGACATCCAGATGGAGCATCTGATCCGAATCTTCGTGAAGAAAATCGTTTGCCAGGCAACGGTGCTCCATCTAGTACATTTCGGGAACTTAAATCGAATATGCACCTGGAAGTGTCTCCGCCCGCAGTCACAGCTGAACCGAGGTCCGAGAAGGGTGACAAAGGAGTCGCCCGAGTTCTAGCGAGTTCTAAACAAGATGGTTATGATAGTGGTCACGAGTCCACACCGAGAACCGGCAAGCACAGTCCCGCTGGAACTTCGAGGAGGGCTGAATCGGGCTATGATTCTGTACCTAGGGACTCCGATGCGTCATCATTAGATTCCTATCCAACTCGAAGAGCCGCGGTAGCAAGGGCTCACGCAAAAAAACACACAACGGCTAAATATAAACAGCATAGTGACCGATCTTTCTGCTCGTGGCTAAGAAATCCTTTCACATGCAAATACGCGGACACAGACCCGGAAATCAGTGACTTTTGAAATCGTCGAGTGACCTCGCGATACTTCCCAAGTAACATGTATCACTAAGCTACGTTACCGAATTTAACCTGGAGACTGCTTATGTAACTTATGTGTATTTACGACAAAAGCTTTGCACCGACTGAATAATGTTACCATTGTATTTTTATAAACTCGAAGCTTCTAGTTCCGCTCTGAAATAATATATTTTAGGAATAACTTAGGGATTCGTTAGATGGCGAAGTGTAAATAGAATATTATTATGCTACGAACAACGAACAACTATCGGCTCTTGCTATCATTTTGTACTTTTATAATACTTCTACTTTGTGTTATTTATACTTTCTACTGTTATAGCAATTCGACATTGTGTAAATATTTAACGATCTAGAGTCTTCCTCGGTCTTCCTCGCGTTGAGGATGGGACTTTTTCTATCAAATATTGAACATTTCTTCCAATCACTTAACACTGTTTTTCATCGGTAGTTAATGGTAAAATCAGTTTGAATTCTAAAGGGATGCCTTAGACGTTACTTAATGCTTAAATAAGTTCGTGTAGAATCTTTAAGTGAATGGATTTAATGTTATGATGTTTTTAGTTGTAAGACTGTTATCAAGGCCATGTGACTAGCTTTAACTTGTCTGTGTACATAAATAACGCGAACACGACGGCTTTATCGAATGTTACAATTAGTTATCGCTTTATCGTCAATGTTTTGTTATTGAACTATTCATATATTAAATATTATACATCGTATAAATTCTACTATGCGTTCGTATTAGTTCTAAATAAACTGTTCTACGGACACTGAATATAACTTTTATTTACACCCCCTTATAAAATGTTGTTGTAGATTTCATCATTCATTTTCATATTACTTAAATAACAAAATGAAAAATCCCATATTCATATAACTAACTAGGCACAGTTATGAACGTCAATATAATAAAAATAGTCGAAACTTGCATGTCCTACCAGTTCTGAAATCAAGGGCATAGAACTAACGAGAAGAACTAGTAAGATATATTACGTGAATGGTAAAACTGGAAAGTCAATGAAACACTTATGGTTTAAAACGCTGAAAGTTGAAAAGTACTATTTATTATGTAATATAGTTCGCGTTAAAGAAAATTTATAAAACCTTATGTACTTGTAATAATTCGAAACTTATACTTTTCTGCTAATTAAAAGTTCCGTTCAATTCTTCCATTTTGTTTTTAACATAAAATATTCTACGAGAGATCCCCTTAACGTATAATGAACTGAATATAAAACGATGAATACGTAACGCTGAAACTTTGACACCCCCGGGACAAAACGAAATCTTGGGATACAAACTTTTTCCCCGCACCAAACTCCAGCTCCATGTAGAGAGAGGCCTATTATCTTTCATTTCTCTTGTAATTTAGCATTCTCCGTTCGCCCCGGGAAAATCTCGCTATCAAATACGTTTTACCCTCCTTGAGGGTGACAACTTTTTTTCATGGAAATCTCCCGATAATTCGTTAAAGTGGCTTGGCTTACACCGATTATCGAACATTTTGCTCTATCGAGTGCAATAAATTTTTAAAGGTTTCAGACGAAGCTTTCCTGCCAAACAAAGTTTCAAACTTTCATACTCCGAGACTACGGTGTTCCGTAGTCTCGGAACCTTAACACCACAAAGATTTCTCAAATTTTAAACAGATCTATTCAATCATAATATACAGAAACATATTTTAAACAGCTAGAAACCCAATGAGTCAGTTTTTTTCAGTTGTTTCAGTATGCTTGTTAGACTTCTTGTCGTGTTGTTTTTAGAGAGCCTTGAATTCAGGTTTAATTTAAATCAATTATCTATACTATTATAATATATAATATTATAAAAAGGAAAGATTTTTATTTTTGTATGTAACGGATAAACTCAAAAAGTACTGGACCGATCTTAATTTAATTTTTACTAGTCAGCTACATTATCATTGAGTAAAATAGACTATACTTAGTACATACTAGATTACGATAGAAATCTTTAGAAATGTCCATAAAAGAAAATTAGCCATAAAATGTCTTTCATCGCATACACTGCGAAGAGTAATAATGATAGGACAAAAAATGTTCGACAATATTATAAAATATATCAATATCTACAAAAAACATCGCGGGAGCATATGACTAACTGTTGTAATTACGTCGCTATAACTACTTTTTACATTTCATAAATTAATAGAAATGCCGATCAAAATCAGACCGTGTATTCCATACCATTTTTAAATGTTTATCCAAATAAATAATGTAATATTCAAGACTGTCTCAATACCTGATGATTACTTTCTTAATTATTGAAATCGGACAATCGGAAATAGAGCTAGGAATTCGCGAACGCGTGCACGGGACTCTAACACTGAACGCTCGCAGCGGCTCCTGAACCAGCGAGATAGACAACGGTCGTTAACAGCTAGGACGCACAATACTTTGTTTTTCTAATTTAGTGATTCATGATCATTTTAATTAGCAAGCTTATAATTTAAATATCTGTACCTATTTATGTCACCCATGCAAAGCCAGGACGGGACGCTAGTACGTTATAAAATGGAAGAAATTAACGATCCAAGTGGGGGTTGGACCCACGACTACGGATTGCGTCGTTATTCTATCAATTGAGCTACTAAAGCTTGAAGCTTAAAATCGCTAGAGCTAGAGGCTCTATTTTTTGTCGGGCTCACTGGTCTAACGGTAGCAATATGTGGCTAATAATCAATCTGACGTCTGGAAATCTTGATAGTAAATAATAGCAATATGGAAAATAATACGAGTAATAAACCACCATCGAAATATAAAAAAGCTACAAAAATTCGTGTTTTAGTTACAGTCTGTGGATTCCCGAACTAATGATGGCATTATATAAATAAAAATTAAATAAAAAAGCTTAAACAGCAAAGCTGCTAAGACATTGAACATTAATCAACATGAATAATTATATTGCGCGAGAGTTACATGTATCATGTAGGACTCGGTAGCTCAATTGGTTAGAGAAACAGTACGAAGCTACTAGTTTCGATTTAAACAAAATAAATATTACTTAGTTATGTTAGTGCCCCTTAGTAGAAATGATCGTTGATCAACAAATGCCCACTCCGACCAGTTCTAACGATCCACTATTTAATAATCCTCTCCCGCGATACAATGCGACGGCAGTAAGAACAAAACGCAAAGAAAGGAAGGATAAAGACGTACGTGGACGTGACGCGGAAACGTAATGCAGTCCGCACCGCCCATGCGCACAAAAATGACCTTAATCACCCCATAAAGAAGGAGTATAATAGATTGGCTTAAGCGGAGTACGTGATATGGAAGAAAAATTTTCGGTAATAATAACAACATATGTATCTGCGTTGGAGTTAATATGTATTAATCATATACGGGGACAGGGGAGTTATATTTTCGTAGACAGTTTAATAAATCTCATTATTAACCAGTTACCAGTATTTTAGAAAGAATAACAGAATTTAATAATTATAAAAATATATTTACAACTGCCTGTTGTCATTATTTATATACCTTCTTATAATGATATACTTTAGTATCGGTTGTTTTAGAACAATTATAAAAACACTTTTAACGGTTTAAAACGCGTAAAAAATGATTGTAAACGGTAGACTAATCACATCGTAATTTTTCAATTACACATTTTGAGAACCTAAACTTTACTCTTAAGTTATAAGTAAAGTACGTTTTTAAACCTAATTTTCTACCAAAATAGGTCGGCAGCGAACATCTTACTTAGATGTGGGGCTGGAGCATTGAACCAACAATCTAATCACGAAAGGCGAGATCTCTCCGTGGCCACCCGTGGCTGCTGCAAAGCATGTGAAACGTTGGGCCGTAGTTAAAATACCTTTCCAATAAGTTTAACTAATTTATATCATTTTAAACCGTTAAAGTGTTCTATTTAAATTTGTACTAATCGCGTAAACTACAGACAGTATTCAGCCCCTAATTGTTAAACGCTTAGACAAAAAAGATCCTCGTAGTCTCGTGTAATGGGTAATAATTTAGAAAGCTCGTTTCGCCACGCCAACTTGTATCTCTAAAAAGTTAAAGACGTTATTGCAATTTAAACGGAGCTAATGTACCAAGATTGCTGGCGTTTCTCGTTCTCCTCACGTTCTTACAAAGGTTAAAAAATTACATCTGGCGCGGATTATTCTTATCTTATTATGATGATATGTTTCAGAAAAAATATACATTATTTACGACCTATTGATTATTGGCCTTATATTGCAACCATTATACCAACATGTCCATCGTAATTCGTAATTCGTGCCCAGTCCTGTCCGCATATGTTTTGAAGAGTATGTTTGTTTGAAATCAATAGCTCCTGAGAGTAGCGCACTCTCAGGAGCTATTGATTAATTTTTGTATTGGAGCATTTATCGATGAAGACTTTAGTATATAAGACACCACGCTGCCAAAAGGAGCGCAGAATGTAGGAATTGTGGAAAAAATGAAGAATTTTGCATGTTTGAGAGTTTCCCTTGCGTACGCTGCGAAATTGATTCAATTTACCCCAAAAGATATGTATAAGAGATTGATTCTTCATCTTCTTCTAAAACACTCGTAACATAAACCTTAGTATCTTTAATTACACACTAATATTTAATTTAAATTGAAAAAGTCGAGGTCGCAGTCAATACTTGAATCTTCGCTGGGTACTATTGTTCGTTGTTCATATAATGGATATTATTAAGATAAAGAAAAGCTTAGGATTAACTTGATGGTAGGTGAAATTGCAAAGAGGATCATGAGGCCGGGATCCGGAAAGAATTATTAAATTTAAATACTGTTATATTTACGCGAGTAGTACACATTTAAATAAAACACTTTAACGGTTTAAAACGCGATATATTCGTTAAACTTATTTGGAAATGATTTTTAACTTCGGCCCGGCTTCGACCACGGCTGCTGCAAAGCATCCGAAACGTCGGGCCGAAGTTAAAAATCATTTCCAAATAAGTTTAACTAATATATCGCGTTTTAAACC